TTTCACCATTTCTTGATTTTTTTTTTATTTTTTTCTCTTAAGTAGCGTTTTTCTTTACTAATTTTCATTGTTAGATTTCTGGTGGTGTCATTTTCATTAGCTTTTGGAGTGAGTATTGGTTTCTCTGTTTTTTTTTTTTTTTTAGTAGTTTTACTTTTTTTTACTAACTCTCACAGACCCTTTTTGTTGAGCTTCTAGCGTCGACGTTTTTAATGCGTAGTTGAAACGGAATAGGCCTTCTGGGTAGGTATTGTTTTCTTTATTTTTTTTTTTTTGGTAGTTTTTACTTTTTTTTACTAACTTTTACTAATTCTTATTGTCAGGGTTTCAGTGTCGTCGCTCTTGGTATATAGTTAGAGCGAAATATGCTTTTGGATAAGTATTGGTTTTTTTATTTTAGTAGTTTTCATTTTACTAACTTGTTAACTCTCTTTGTTAGTTTTTCAGCACCTTTGCTCTTAGTATATAGTTGGAGCTTTGTTGTTGGTCATTGTGGAAATTTTTCAGGTTATGAAGTTGGATATTTTTTTTTGCGTAATTATTAATAGGTTGTTTGGGTTGGCTATATTAGTGCGTTTTCTTTTTAGTATAATTGTTGATTACAAAACGCGATGATTTTTTTTTTTTTATGTTTGTTATTGTATTTTTTTTTTTTTATAATAAACATTTATTATACGATATTTCTACATTTGTTATATGACATTTCTACATTTGTTATACGATATTTTTATGCAATTAATAAAGAATTTTTGTTTTCGCATAATTGATCATAGGTCGTAAAGTGACCAACCGGTGTTATAAATTTGATAGTTTTAATATTTTGGCGCAGTTTCTATGTAATAGGTGTTTAAAATTTCTCCCAAACTTTGATCAAAAATATCTTGGCACCCACTTAATTAAATTTGATAAAATTTTTTTTATTCGAATTCTACAAGTCTGTAGAATTCGAATAAAAAAATTTTTATCGAATTTTATTGAGTGGGTGCTGAGATATCTTCAATCAAAGTTGGTTTAAAAACTTTGGCACAGTTGCTATGTAATAGGCGTTTAAAATTTCTCTAAAACTTTGATCGAAGATATCTTGACTCCCATTTAATCAAATTCGATGAAATTTTTTATTCGAATTCTACAGGTCTGTAGAATTCGAATAAAAAAATTTTCATCGAATTTGATCAAGTGGGTGCCGAGATATCTTCGATCAAAGTTGGTTT